TGCAGGCACTGGTCTCATTCCTGTGCTGCCTTCGCAAGTTCCTGAGTCTGGGCCAAGTTTACAGCCAGGACTGCCTCACAGCAGAAGCCTGGAAGCACTTGCCCTTCCTGTGTGCATTGGCAGTGACCCCCAGTACTCAGACATGCAGAGGCACTGCTCCTTACCTGTTGGCGGGTGGGGCCCTGCTGCACCCTTGGAGAAGCCAGCCTCCTCTGCCTTTGGCTCAGGTCCCCAGCTGGAAGCTTGGGGCAGCTGGTCTTCAGCCCAGGGTTGTGACTGCATTGTGTTCAGAAGCCCAGAGGCCACCTTTTGGTCCTGAGGCTCAGAGCCCTAAGTGCTGGTTGCTAGACCCAGGTCGCTCACAGCCTGGGGCCGAGCTGACTTGCATGAGGGGGCTGTGCTCCCTGGGAGCCCAGCGGGGTGCCGAGGTCGCAGGTCTGGTGCAGGCCCAGAGCCTTGGCCCGGCCCCAGTGTGGCGGTGCCTCCTGTTCCATGCACTCAGAATTCCACCTTTCCTCCCTCACAGGTCTGTGCAGACTTTCGCAGACAAATCAAAACAAGAAGCGCTCAAGAACGACCTGGTGGAGGCTTTGAAGAGAAAGCAGCAATGTTAAACCTCCGCTTCGCGCTAACCGGCCACGCCATGCCCTCGTTAGGTTCCTTTCTTAGACAACTCATTTTCTGCTCCCTGCCCCTCGCCCCTCCCCTCCCCGACAGGTCACATAACAACTTGCATCATCGACCTACGCACAGCCATCTCTCCCTGAGAATAAAGCCCAGTAACCGCCCTGTCCGGCTCCGAGGCCTGCTTCCCACCACGTTTTGCTATCGAAACTCTGGAAACCGTGTGTTTTTGTTCGCCTGGGCCCCGTCTCCCCCTCCATTTATAGGCATAAAGTACACTGTCAGCCGCCCTCCTTCCCACCTTTTTGTTACATTGGTGTAAAAAATGTAAAACAAAAAAATTTTATGAAATACTGTGGTGTGTGAAAGATAGAAGAAAAACTGATTCCATGTGTGTTTGGGAGTTGCTTGGGGTTGGGGGTCGGGGTCGGGATGGGCAGCTCTGGAGGAAGGAGAGCCGGCCCTCAGCGACGTCCTGTCCTGCACAGACCAGAGCCGCCCGCAGCCCACGGGGAGGGGCGGCGTCCTGCTCTTCTGGCCAGGTGCTTTTCTGTCAATTTTTATGGAATGCGAAAGGAGTTTTTTGTTTTATTTTGTTTTTTTGTAAAGCTTAAACAAAAAAAAATAAATCTACATCTTATACTTGAGCCTCCATACTTAAAAAAAAAATGAAAAAAAAAAACAAAAAAATAAAAAGAAACTGGGACGCAGCGCTGGCCTCGTGTTCTCTCTGAAAGGGCTCTCTCTCCTGGAGTGCATGGCTCCAGCCCGACGAGACTGGGGGGACTTCAGTGGGGAGCTGGGGCAGGGGGGAGGGAGGGTAGGCAGGACACAGGAACACCTCCCTTGTCCATCCCTGCAGGACCATCCGTGCAATAGCACCTGGTGTGCATCAGGAGGAAGGAAGGTCCCTGTCCCTCCTTGCCCTCTGTCCTCAGTGGGTTTTTTTAAAAATTTCCCCAGGGCTGCACTGTCCCCACAAGTACTGCAGTACCAGGTGGGTGGGGCGACTCCCAGCGCGTTAAATTCACATACTGTCCTCAGCAGGGGGCGGGTCAGGTATCAAACTGATTTTAAAAAACAAAAGAAACACGTGCTGCACTTGGCCAAAGCTTAACATCAGGACTACAGCAAGGGTGGGGGTGCCATCGGTGCCGCTGGGTGCTGCTCTGACCACCCACGTGCCCTTCACAGCAAAAACGAAAAGAAAGGTCCTGAGGTGTCACAGAGCTGCCCCCCCACCCCGCAGGGCTCAGTTCCTGTCACACCGAAGCCATCCCATCTGCCTCCCTGAGTTTGCCCGCTATTAAACTGGGTGAGGCCCCGCAACTCCTGGTCCTGGCTTCTTGGTCTGAAGCCACACACATCACGGAATGCAGAGTAGCAGGGGACAGAGGACCAGGCAGCAGCGAGCTGGGTTTGACTCCACTTAGAAGGGTCGCCCAGTGTGTTCCATCCTAGCACTAAAATGCAAACAGAACGAGAAGCCTCTCACAGTTCCTTTTTGTACCCAGGGGATTTAGCTGCTGTTGTCACAAACTAAAAGTATATTTTTTAAAAATTGTAACTGAATTAACATCGCAGAGAGGGGCAGGCCTGGCCTCTGACGCTGCAGCCTGGGCTGTGGATGAGCTGTGTCCCCGGGGCCCCTGAGAGGGGCGCTGCAGCCTGGCAGGCTTGGGTTAGGGCAGTGCTGGGCACACACGAGGCGCACAGCGAATGACCTTTTGTGGATATAGGTGCGCTATCGTGACCGGAAGAAACCTGAAACCCAGGAGCTGTGACCTGTGATGACCTGCCTGGTCTTGCTCTGCCTGATGCTGGCCAAGCAGTGAGATGGGGACACTGGGCCCTCACATGGGGTTTCTTAGAGGAGAGGCAGTGAGGAGCAGGCTGAAGACAAGAGAGCTCGTAGCCTGGCTTAGGGCCACCTGTAGCTTGCCACATCCCAGCTACTCCTGTCCCTGCTCCTTTGTGGAGCCTGGCAGGACCCCTGGCACATCCTCGGGAGGGAAGGAAGCCCAAGGAAGTGGCATAAAACAGCTGGGGTGGGGCCGGCGATAGCCCCCTGCTTCTGTGGGCTGCAGGTGTGACAGGCTGCTGGTGTTAGGCAGTGACAAGGCATGTCCCCCCCGCCCCCCCACAGGCCCACTAGGTTCCTCCTGAAGGTGCCCTGCAGGAAGCAGCCATAGGGACAGAGCCGGGGCAGCAGCCCAGCCCAGGAGCCAGGAGTCTGCCTTTCAGCCTGAGCACCGCTGCAGACCCATCTGCACCCTGGGGCTGTCCATGCGCTGTGTCTCTGGCTGCGGAAGGCTCAGTGGGTAGCCAGGGGGCCTCGTCTCTCCACTGCCAGATCAGCTTCTGCAGCCCTTCCTGCAGGAAGGTTCTGGGCCCCTTGGTTCCTTGTCTCCACCACCTTGCTGTTCACGCAGCGCATTCCCTAAGCAACCCCTCCAAGGGTGCAGGCGCTGCCGCTGCAGGGTGGCTCGGGCCTTGGGAACCCTCCTGCTCTTCTGTTTTGATGCTGCTTCACCTCCACACAGCCTTGATGTGATGCCCCCTTGGTCCTTCATCCCTGAGGGGCGCTTCCAGGACGGTGCAGATGGCATCTCCTGAGAGACCCTGGTCCAGGGCAGAGCTGCTTCATCCCCTCCGCTGCCCAGAGCAGCCCTGGTTCCTGACACCCACCGCCTCCCGTTTCCCTTCCCTTCTGTGATCAGCTCGCAGCCTGTCACTGCCTCCTGTGTTGCTTGTTTAAGTGAGTGGCATCCTGGGTACCCAGTAGTAATCAATGAACCCTACAGAGACCAAGGACTGGCTGGTCACCAGGTCCCAAGCTGGAGGGCCTCTCCCCGATTCAGGTCTATGGGTGGGCAGCCAGGGTCTCAGTCCCCGCCTGCTTCACCCCAGCCTCCCCCACGTCCCCCATCCAGAGGCTCCTGGTGTCCACCTCTGAATTCCAAGAGCTACTGCTCTTTTTTCTTCTTTTTGCAATGGTTTGCGGTAGGGGGTGGGGGGGGTGGTTGTGCTACGGATGGAGCCCAGGGCCTGCGCACGCTAAGTGTATGCTGAACCCCTGAGCTACATCCCCAGCCTCTGGGACTGCTTTTTAATTTCTACAACAGTCTGCAAATTCAGCAAGTGTGTTTCATTCCTAACAATGTTATAAATTGTATAAATATTATAAACTAAACATTACATAAGTGGAAGTTAAAACAGTTCCATTTTTCTCCATTTTTTTAAGATTCATAAATGCAGGAAACCAGATTGCTTAATCACATGTTGTCATGTAGCTACTTCCCTCAAAACTTATCCACATGGTTACAAATATTTTGAGTGAGAACAGTCCTTGCAGTTTTGTGGGTTTTTTTAGGATGCGATCTCAATGTCACCCAGGCTTACCTCAAATTCTTGGGCTCAATTAATCCTCTTGCTTCAGCCTCCTAAGTAGCTGAGACTACAGGGGTGCCCTACTGTGTCTGGCCTTGTTAGATTTTGCAATTCACTTTGTGACCCTTTAGGAAGCTGATGATCTGTTAAATAGGTATTTGGGGGGGATTTTTTGTTGTTTCTTGAGAAAGGGTCTCACTCTAGCCAGGTGTGGTGGCTCACGCCTGTAATCCCAGCACTTGGGAGGCTGAGGCAGGAGGATCGTTGCGAGTTGGAGACCAGCCTGGGCTACAAAGTGAGTTCAAGGCCAGCCTGAACTGCATAGAGACCCTGTTTCAAAAAGACAAAAAAAGGTGGGGGGGTCTCACTCTATAGTTCAAGCTGGCCTTGAACTCACTATGTAGCCCAGGCTGGCCTCGAACTCCAGATGATCCTCCTGCCTCAACCTCCAGAGTGCTGGAATTACAAGCATGCACCATCACTCCTGGCTACATTGTTTTCTTCTTACTTTCTGCTTATGTAGATACACACTTTGGCATCACTGTTTTCACCTCTTTCGTGAAACTCTCCATAAATGCTCTGCAGGGTAGACAGACTTATAAAACACAGCCTTACACGATTTGTCCCTTTAAGCCATTAGGGAATAAAACTTTGACTTCCCTAGCAGATGACTGACCGCAGGGTCCTCCTCCACGGCTGGTGCTCCCACTACTTGGATATGAGTAGAAATCCAATCTAGAAATCCAGTGCCTCAGTTTACAAACTTCATTCATTCCGCGATCCTGGGAGGACAGCTGCTGCATTCACGCTCATGTGGGGAAGGTGGCTGTCACCCAATGCAGACTTCTGGAACGAAAGCAAGACTCTGCCAAATATTTGTTTATGAACTGAATTGTTCACAAGCAGAAGCGTTCGTGAACCAAGGCGTTACCATATTTAAGCGCTAACTGGATGTTTTGCAGATGAGATCAAGCACATGAATGAACTTGTTTTTCAAAAAGTTTATTGAGCATATTCACATCATGCACAGCTCAGTAGTTCGGTGCTTGGTGACGTCCCTGTCACCTGCACTCCAGTTTGACTCCAATTCAGACCTGCACTTGGGGTTCATGCTGCACAAGGAGCTCCCAGGTCTTCAGGTCAGGAAGGGCACTGCCTGACCCCAAGTAGCTAGCACTGGGACAAGAGCCCCCGAGGGACAGTGTGAGCACCTACTCTGTACTGGGAACACCTGGTGACCCGGATGCACTCTCTGTCCACAATAATGGGACACAATAATGCCCCAGCCCCACAATAATGGGGCTGAGGAAGGGGACACAACGGAAACGACTGTTCTCAGAGCTGTCGTGGTGCTAGGGGACTCCATCAGTAGCCATCAGCTGGATTAACCCACAGGCCAAAGTAATCCCAACCACACACTATCAGTTAACGCTATTTCAATATCGTTCAGAGCCTAGCTGAAGCCTGGTAGCCACTGGGCTACGATGAGAGCCGAGGCAGATGGGAAAGGGATGGAAAGGGGTGAGCTGAAGATTTCACTTGTGCAGAAGGGGAGATCGAAAGACCCTGTCATCTCAGAACATCCCAGGTGTAAGAAATAACCGCTGGGGCCTGGGCTCCAGTGTAGAGGACTAGGCCTCTGGGCCCCTCTCTTCTGCTCACTGCGGAACGTGCCCAGCCATCAGCCAGCTGGCCCTGGGCCCAGGGGAGGCAAAGAAGCCGTGTGTCTGTGGGGTGTTGGGCCAGACACCAGGAGGCATTCGTATGTGGCACCTCATTCAGAAAATGTAGCCTGCCACAGTAGGGACATTTGGAGGGACTGGCCCACCCCCTTGGGCTGAATAAGCTAACAGAGCCATCATGTATCCACCTGTCCATCCCAGGAGCAGGTGCAGGCCAGGAGCCACCCATGCACTTCATTTCATCGTCAAAACCGTACCCTGAGGCTAACATGACTGGTGATCCCGTGGAGTGAAGGAACCGAGGCTGGGGACAGGCACCCAGGTCTCAGGGCTCACCAGAGGATGCACATGCTTGGAATGCAGCGTGTGGGACCCAGAAGTCTGTTCCCCATACAACCCCACCCCTGTCCACTGAGCATGTCACCAGGTCTCCCCTGAGCAAAGGTTAGAGCCAGGGTATGAACAAGTCACCCTGGGACGGGGCACCAGGTTCCTCCAGCCTCGTCACTATGACTCACTCCCCTGTGGGCCTGCAAAGGCTGAGGACCCAAGGACTGGAGAGGCCACACAGACTGGGCATTCCCCAAGAACAGGGGCCTCCAGGGAACAGGGACTCGAAGGGTCAAGGGCCACGTCTCCATCAGTCCAGGCCCTACTGAGCAGGGAACCTTAGCGCTCTGTGAGCTGGGCGAGGTCTGGCTGATTCCTGCAGGCAGAAATGCTGTCACCCTCACCTGCCAGGGCTTCTCGGGACAGGGGCTGTGTCATTTCATTCTCCTCCCACCCAGCTTCAGTTCAGCCCTGCACTTGAGGCTCTTGCTGCCACACAGACCCCTAGGGTCTTCAGGCCAGGAAGGGTGCGACCTGGCCCCGACTTTGGCATCAGGCCAGATCCCAGCCCCAGAAGCGGCACCTGAAACATGCACCAGCCATCAGTGGCAGTGATCGGGGCCTGGGACACCTTTTTATACAGCCCAGGCAGAGCTAGAGGCTGGAGGATGGGTGCCAAACCTTTGCCACCCCTAGCTGGCCACCGGTCCCCTGAGCCTGACCATCACAACTCTACCCAGCAGAGGGAGCCATGGGGATGAGGCCCAGTCAGGTCCAGCAAGTCTGCAAGGTACCCCAGCAGCAGGCCGCCAGGGCTTGGCAGACTCACCAGGAAGAGGAGGCAGGGAGGCTGGCCCTGCCTGCATAATGGGCCCAAGCCTCAGACCCCAGGGCCAACCTCCTCATCTCCAGCCAGAGGAACTTCCCCAACCAGAGTACCTTGCCCATGGCCTGGGCCGTGAGCCCTGTCCCCAGGACCTGGCTGTCCTTCAGGAAGGCTTTTGGCAGGCAGCCTTCTGAATGGCTCCATCCCCGGTGGCCTCCTGCCCTCTGGGGCAGGTCGAGTCTACCCATTCGGGAGCTGGCTCCACCTCCAGGTCTCAGCCCGTGTCACCTCGGCCTGGTCACAGCCTTCTCAGCTTCAGCACAGCAAGTAGAGCTCAATCATTGCAGCCCGACACACAGCACAGCCCAGCGGGTAGGGGTGGGCACCTCACCAAACCCCTAGAGCACCAGCGTAGGCTGCGGTCCCTCCAGGGTCCTAACACAAAGCCTCAGTCCCAAGCACACTTCTCGGTTTGCCAAGTGGCCCCAGGTGCCCGAGCCTAGTGTAGTTTCTGGACTTCGGGGGCGGGGGGGCGAGTGGAGCCAGAATGAGACCCACAAAAGGGAGTTGGCTCCTCTGAAGTCAAGGTTCCTAGTGTCATCAACAAGACAGGAGGCAGAATGACAGGTCTGGAAACACAGGCTGGGCTGGACTCCGCCTCCTAAAGGCAGGCAGGCACCTGACCTCCAGGGAGAGCTGGCTATCCCTCATTGCCAACCAAAAAAGCAGAGCCACCCGAGCCTTGACCACACGCCAGACTGTCACACTGTGGGGCTGAACTGCCGTCCTCCTGTGCCCATCCTCCTGTGCCCCGCCACACCCTGCTACTCCTGTGCGTCTCCCGCCCTTGCAGGTGCAGGAGCAGCCCTGCGGGACATCATTCTCACTCTGCGGCATGTGACAGGGGCACAGAGATGAAGATGAGAGAACCAGGGACTCTGGGAGGCGGGGCCGGGGTACAGGCAAACACGCCCCCCCCCACCTCACCTCCCACCAGGGCTCCATCTACCACCATTTCCCAGAAAAGCCCAGACCCCAGCACCCAAGGAGACAGCTGCAGAGCCAGGCCTTGCTGGAAGGTACATGTTCTAGGTCGCATCAGGTCCTTGGGACAGTCCTGGGTTGTTTCACCACAGCGTGGCCCCGGGGGTACGCAGGCAGCGTGAGGTAGATAGGTAGAGGGGTGGCTGAACCCCGGGTCTCCGTGGTTAGAGCAGCTAGCTGCCTTTGACCTGGGAGGTGTTCGCTGGGTGGGCCAGTCCTGGGCCTGTCTTGCTTCTGGAAGAGTCAGTCCCCAGGAGGGATCAGAGGCACTGGGGAGGGAGGACAGCTGAGAGGAGCCCCAGGTCTGGGGTGGCAGCACTGTCGCTGCCCGCACCTCTCCCGCTGGGGATGGTATCTGGAGGTCCCCGCCATCCTGGGCTCATCCTGGCGCCGGTCAGCTGGGCAGGAGGGGCTCGCGCTCTGCAGGGGCAGCCTCGGTGGCTTTCCTGTACATCAGGAACTGGATGGAGATCTGAGCATCATGTCAAGGCCCAAAGGAGCGGCCTGAGTTGGGTCTGCCTGGGTTGGGGGACAGCGTCTCTCTTCAGGTGTCCCTGCTACACCCTCCACCCTGAGTGTCCTTCTGCTCCCCCACCCAGCCATACCCTGTTCCTCACCAAGCTCTCGGGCAGCTGCCCAGAGCCGGCCAGGACCCCGCCTCCCTCCACCCTTCAGCCCTGCTCTCTCCTCTCATTAGAGCCCTTAGGCACTCAGCAACTCTGCGATATGAGCCACCTTTACTTTGTCCCAAATGAGACCAAATCATTTACTGAGCACTCATGGAGTGCTGGGTCGGGGAGAGCTTTCAAATACTTTATCTGACATCACTGCCCAGGGTCCTGGTGAGGAGGTGACTGTTAGCTCCGATGAAGCTACCAAAGCAGAGAGGTTGACGGTTCGCTGTGTCACACAGCTTGGAAACAGTGGAGGAAGCAGGATTTGAACCCAGGATTTTCTGACTAACTGGAGTATGACTACTCCATGTTCCAGCTTTCACTCCCATAGCCCAGATGGGATGACCCTTCTATTCCCCAGGCCCTTTGCACAAGCTGTGCCTAGAACTTCCTCCCTTACCTTTGCCTGATCAACTTTTTGCTCAGGTCACAGTTTTAAATGACATTTGCAGAAGCCTTTGTTTACCCTCTAGAACAGGACAGTCCCGGGGTAATGCATTCTTGTGGCTTTAGCCTGCTGCAATTGGTGTCACTGCAAGAATAAACTGTGTGTCCTGTAGGGCTGTCCGCCGAGCTGTGTCTCTGGGCCAGGGTGATTCTGTTCTTAATCATTGATGGCTCAGGTGATTGGCCAGCTGCTTGGCCCACAGGAGGTGTGCACTCTTTGAACAGATAGATGGATGGATGAACGGACAGATGGGAGGATGGGAGGCTGGATGGGCAAGTGGGTGGGTGGATGGGTGGATGGATGGATGGATGGATGGATGGGTAAATGGATGGGTGAATGGATGGGTGGATGGATGGGTGGATGGATGCATAGATGGGTAGATGGGTAGATGGATGGATGGGAGGATGAGTAGATGGATATACGTATGTGTCGATGGCCAGATAGGTAATGAATGCTGTGCCGTGCACAGGCAGAGACTGCCAGCCCACCCTGCCCCACCTGTCCCGCACACCCTGAAGGATACAATAGTATCAAGCAGCAGCACACCCAGGCTGCCCACGAGCCAGGGCAGGTGATGCAGCACATAGCTGCCCTCGCTCTGGCCCACCTCGGGGTTTTTGAGCAGCACGCTCAGCCCGTATAGTGTGTTCCCCATCATCACCAACGCAAACAGCGAGTAGGAGATTCCCTGGGTCGACTTGCGCAGAAACTGGGGGCAAAGGGGGAAAACTCTCGTCACTCTGGATGCTGGAACTGCTCACGCGCCCACCAGGCCCATCACACTGTACATGCTCTGAATGCCCCATCCAAACCACTCCTGCCCACTTCTGGTCCCATCCTGACCACGCCTCTCAGCCCTCCACCCAGGTCCTTGGAGACCATGGCTGCACACACCTTGAGGCCCCACAATGCTCTGCTCTCCAGCTCCACTGCCCAGCGATTCTCCCCTCCTGCCCTTCCTCTTTTCTCCTCTCCTGCCCCTAAGCTCTGAGATATTCCCTCTCATCTGACCTCTGAATCCTGGGACACACATAGTTCTCCTGTATGCCGCCGTGGCAGGGATCTATCTCCTGGCCCATTTTCCAGGGGCACAAAGTGAGGCTCAGAGAGTTGGATTCACTTGCCAAGCCACCACTGAGGATGGTGCCAGGCCCCCTAGACAGAGACCTGCACACCAGTCCTTAACCCAGAGGCCTCCTTCCAACTGGCCCAGCCCCGAGCAGGGGCTCCAGGCTCACATTGGTGCGGATCTGCGGCAGCCGAGAGAGCAGGTACAGCACACTGGACACGGAGCCGATGACGAAGCCGATGATCTCCTGATTCGTGAAGGGCTGGAAGGACGGAAGGGGGAGCTCAGAGCCTTGGGGGGCCCAAAGGGTCATCTTCCTCCACAAACACACACGACCTGCAGGGGAGATGCCAGGGGGGAGCCAGCCCCCACCCATCAGCCCACAGCCAGCTAACAAGCTAACCCACAGCTCACCTTACTGCCCGGTTCCACGGACAGAAGCATCCGCCCCTGGAAGCCTTTCCTTGGGGCAGTCACAGGGCCAGCGCTGCTCAGCAATGGTGTGATACACACGGTCCCCAAGATGAACAACAGCACAGAATTGATGGAGCCAGGCACTGAACATGAGGCAGGAGAACAGTCAAGGTGCCGGATCCGGGCCCACCAGAAAGACAGGGAGCAGCAGGCCAGCCATGCCCCACAGTAGCTGTGTGACCTTGGACGAGTGACCTAACCTCTCTGAGCTTTCATTCCTCCTTTGCTGAATGAATCCTTCAACAATAACCCCTCTCCCAAAGTCGCAGAGGTGATAAATGAGGACAGCACGGTCCAGAAGAGGAAATGCCAATGAGACACAATTCCCTCCCTAAGGCCTCCCGTGTCCTGCTCACCCTGGAGCTGACCCTGTCTACTGGCTCTTGAGTCCCATAGGGAGGCGGCAGCCTGAGCATGCATCCTCCTTCCCCTGCTCCAAGCCTAGGACCAGACACACAGGAGGCGATAAGCCACATTCACTCAAGGGGAGCAGAGTGACTGCAGGCTCCCTGTGGTCGGGGCCGGATGCACTGTCGGCCCTCCAGCCTCTATCTTGACCCATTAACTCTCAGATAAGGCCTTCCGAGGCCTGCTTTATCACCCAACAATGAGAAACCCGCTTCCTCACAAACTCTGGGCCTCCCTGGCTGCCAGCAGGGAGCCTGCTCCAGAGGGGCCCCGCCGTACTCACGCGGAGAGGGGCGTTTCTTGAACTTGTAGTGGAAGTAGAGGGTCAGCATCACCAGGTCGGCCAGGACATAGTACACAGCCGTGTAGGTCTGCGGGGGGGGGGGGGGGGGGGAGAGCCCGGGGCTCAGGACCAGGGCTGCAGCACTGTACCTCCCAGCCTCTGCTTCCTCACCCCGGAGGAGGGATCACAGTCCCCACCTGGCAGAGACCACGTGGGCAAGGGGCCCAGCCGAGGTGCCTAGGAATCCATGGCTGGGCACAGTCAGGCCCTCAAGGTGCCACCGTGGAAGACAGTACTTTCCTGCCTGTGGCCACAGGATGACATCAAGGGTTCCCAAGGAAAAACTCATTTCCTCCTCAAGGGTCCTGTGTCCTGACAACTTAAATTGGGGTTGTGGCCCCTCAAAAGCAAGAGACCCCCGCGGTTGGAGGTGCTCAGACTGCAGATGGAGAACCTGAGGCTCACAGCACTCCAGGCGTGGACCCTCTCTAAGCGGATGGACTGATGGGTCAGGATTCTGAGGCCTGGGCCTCTCCTGCTGCCGGCTTCTAGCGCCCCTGCTCCGGCTGCCCCACCCCGCCCAGAACCACCCACCTGCAGGGGCAGCTGGTCAGCAAGGAAGGAACCGATGAGGTTGCAGGAGTCTCCACCGATCCAGCCCAGGAGGAACCACACTGACAGGGCCTGGTCCATGTTGCCCGTCTTGCAGGCCTTGATGTACTGGCTACGAAGAGGAGGAGATGTAAGCTCAGGGGCCCAGGGCTGGGAGGTCACCTTGCTCAGAGGGCCAAGGAGGACACTTCCCCCTCAAACTCCAGAACAGTATGGCAGTGCGGTAGGACAGCGAAGAACAGGAAATGGCCTGGGAGGGGGTTTCCCGGGGGGGCCTTTCTTAGTGTTTACCCTGGGGGAGTCCCTTCTAGCTTGGGTGACTACAGCAGAGACCCTCAGCTTCCTTCAATTCTCCTCCACCGTGCCCTGGGGTCCCAGAGGGCACTCAAGGTCTACAGGGGTTGGGAGGCTGGTGTTAGGCCCTGAGAATCCTTGTTACCCTGATTCCTCTTGTTCTGCTTCAGGTTTTGCAGAACCCAGGGCCTTGCATGTGCTAGGCAAGCACTCTGTATCCCTAGCCCCTCTGTATTTCTGAATCAGATCGGGGGGCACTGAGAGCAGGGGTGGGGTGGTGTAGTAGCCTAAGGCTTGCACCCTGCCCCTTCTCCAGGATCAGCCCATGATGAGACAGGCCAAACCACAATGGGCAACGGAGAATGCGGGGCAGGAACCCCGTGACTTAGGAACAAGAGTTCCCATATTTTGGTTTCCCAGGTGTTTTCCCAAAGATCTGGGACCCCCTTCTAGACCTATGGCCGGGTACGGGTTCAAGGGCAAAGCTGAGCACAAGCCAACACTGTCAGGGCCACTGGGTCTCAGGCACAGTTCAGAGGCCTCCGTGGGCACTGGCTCCTCAGTCTTCTCAGCATTCCTTGAGACTGTCATGATCCTCCCCACTGGGGACCAAGAACACTGTCACACAGCTTAGATTCTCCCAGCCCAAGTCTCTGGTCTTTTTTTTTTTTTTTTTGGTACCAGGGATTGACTCATGACCTTGCACTTGCCAGGCAGGCACTTACGCCACTGAGCTAAATCCCTGGCCCCACGTCTTTGGTCTTGTGCTTACCCATGACACACACTCCGTTTACTATTCAAATTTCTTCCTTTGCAGTACTAGGGACCAAACCCAGGGCCTCACGCGTGCCAGCCAAGAGCTGTGCGCTGGGTTACACCCCCAGGTCCACACACTTCCTTTTTAACTGTCTGCATGCAGATACCCGTGAAGACCCAGAAAGAAAAAGGAGGGCAGGAGAGAAGGCAGGAGAAAGGGAGGGAAGTGGGCCAAGAGCGTAGCTCAGAGGTAGGGAGCCTGCTTGGTATGGGAGGCCCTCAATGTGAGCCCCAGCACCAAAAAGAAGAAGAAACAACTAAACAGCACCTCCTGCCACCCACCGCCCAAACCTAAAACCCGGAGAGCTGGGCACGGACTCCTTCCTCCCCACTGAGTCCCTCCTCCGTGGCTCCTCCCGCCCTGACTCCCCCGCCTTCTGACTCAGCCCTGTTCCCCTGGAGCCATCCATCCTCTCTGTAAACTCCCAGCCTTGCCAGGTGTAGTGGTGCACACCTATAAGCCTAGCACTTGGGAGGCTGAGGCAAGAGGATTGCCGTGAGTTCGAAACCAGCCAGGGGTACATAGCCAGTTCAAGGCCAACTTGCATTACACAGTAAGACCCTGTCTCCAAAAACAACAACAACAAAAATTCCAGTCCAACCAGAAACTGTCAAGAGCCGTCCAAGGCCCGTTAATAACGACCCACATCCTTTTAGAGCATGTGCCCTTGCGAGGCCCCAGGTCGGAGGCTGCTTTCTCTTCCTCTAAGCTCATCACCAGATGCCTGCTGCCCCTCCTAGGCCCAAACACCTCCTCATCTTTCACTTTCTTTTTTTTTTTTTTTGTCTTTTTCCTTTTTATCGGTACTGGGGATCGAACTCACGACTGCCTGCTTGTAAGGCAGGTGCTTATGCCGCTGAGCTAAATCCCCAGCCCCTCATCTTTCACTTTCAAAGGTTCCTCCCCAGGCCTTCCTCCAGCTCCCAGCCTCCTGCTGTGACACCAAACAGCTTGTCCCTCCTGGACTCAGGCTTTCAGTCCTTGTAACTCTCTATTAGTGATTGAACCCAGGTCCCTCATATTGAGCTACATCCATAGACCATTTTTAATTCTTTTTTAAATGTTGGGACAGGGTCTTGCTAAATTTCCCAAACTGGGCTTGAATTTGTAATCCTCCTGCCTCAGCCTCCTAGAATACAAGGATTATGGGCATGTGCCACCACACCCAGCTGCTGAGGGTTGACACTCCTGAGCACTGTGCTGTTACACAGTGTCTTTGTGCCCCTCCATCAGCAGCATTTTGCATTGAGTGCTGTGGTCTCCACACCAGCCTGTCCAGGCTCTGAGGACAGAAGCCGTGTTGGGTACCCCAGCCTCCCACTCCTCGCCCCCTCTTACCAACTGTGCAGCCCACAGCACGTTACTCAACCTCCCTGGGTTTCAGTTCCCTTATCTGTAAAGTGGAAAAGCTACCTATCTCACAGGCTCGCTTTCAGTACCAAAATAGGTAAAAACATATCCGGCATTTAGAACTGAGCCAGGTCCAGAGTGGACACTTGGGAAACCGTAGCAGAAGTCAAGCTTTCTGCATCATCGATACCCAGCATGAGATCCTGTGGGGCTCCATCCAGGCCCCTCCCAAGCAGGCTGGAAGTGAGTGACCGTGACTGGGGTGGAGGTGGCACAAGCGGCCTGAAGTCTAGTCACGCCCACGCAGGACCTCGAGCCACTGTCCCACCCCCGCCCTGCCTGCTCCAGCCACCCAGGCATGACTCACGGGAAGGTGGATGCAGTGAAGCAGAGAATGGAGATCAGGCCCAGACCCACGCTGGCCTCGTCCCAGCCGTCCTGGGCACACTCATGAAACAAGTCCCATATCCACAGGACGGAGCCATTGGGGCAGCTGGAGAAGTTGCCAGCACCCAGTTTCCTCCGGATCATGGCTGCAGAGAGAGGGTCCCGGCCCGGAGGGATCTTGCAGGAGGGAGGGAGGACGCTGGTGCACCGAGGCGAGGCCGGTGAGGGTTCCTTCCACAGGGAAAAAGAGAGGAAGCTTTCAGCTGTGGGAGGTCCGCCCCCACATTTACTGCTGCCCCAACCCTAACCCAGCCCCATCACCTAGCCCTGGCTGATCAAGGCCAGGACCAGAGAAAGATAAAGATACAGTCCTCATCAATGGGGACACGACGGGCCTCCAGGTACACAGCTTGAAGTGAACGTGTACAACCACACACACACAGAGGGAGCCCAGAACCTGCAGTCAGGGGCACAGGCACCTGCACGAACCCTGAGGCTGGATCCATTTGTTCACAGTTGCTATTATCACTGTAAGTTACTCTGGGAGGGTGTGCAGAGCCAGGCTCATGAACTGCACTGCACATCGGCCAGAGGAGACTGAGGAGAAGGTGATCCCCGGGGTGATTGCCCTAGTAGCTGAGATACAAGTTGGGGTGCTTGAGTGCGTGTCCCCCCAGGAGCTCACAAGGCCTGCAGGATATCTACTGGCAAGGAATCTACCACCACCTCCCAAGCCAGAATCCAGGTAAACACAGGGGCAGAGAGGAAGTAGCTGCTCTCAGTGCCCAGGCACCCTGGACAGAGAGCAGAGCAGTCTGCTGTGTGATAACCCCAGAAAATGGGCTGGAGCCATCTCCATCAGTGATCATTGCCACCACCCTGATGGCTCAGCTCCCGGCCAGCTCTGGGCTGAGCTTCTGGCACACATTAATAGAGTCCGTCCTCCCCACTCTAGGAAGCAGGGACAACTGATACACGCAGGAGGGACCTGAGACCACAGCAGGGAGGTGCTCCTGCAGGGGCACCCTGCCAGGAAGCAGAGGAGTGAAACCCAGGGCCAAGACCCTGAGCCCTGCTCACAGCCACCAGACTCCACTGCATCAGGCATGGCGCGTAGCGCTTCCCTTTTACTCTCTGTGCTAAGCGGGGGTTTCCTCGCCCAGGTGGGGGCTCTCCCCAGCACCTTCATTTCTCCTTGTGTCTGGGAGCCCCGCTCCTCATGAAGCAATGCCCTGGCTAGACCCATGGAACTGCTGAGGTCACAGCCATTTGGGAACCTCCGGCGGGGAAAGGAAGCGAGTCAGCTCCTTTTCTCAGAAAGCTGTAGGTCTCAGCCCCAGCTTGACTGGCTGTGGGAGCTACGGCCCAGGTCACTGTGGGTCACGAGGGGACAGCATGGGGTGGTGGAAAGGCTCTTCCTGGTTCTCAGTGGCCCTCCTTGACAGCCATCAGCATGGCTGATAACCAGAAACATTCACCTGATGCCCCATCACTGGCAGATGCAAGGATGCCCCGAGCTAACGCACAGTCCAGGGGAGGAACTGCATCCCTGCCGTGTCAGAGGCATCTCAAACCAAGTCCTTCGATACAAGCGCCCATCCAACTGGGCCACCTCCCCCAGCCTCCTCTTGTAGATCCCGAACACGCCACCACTGTAGTCACCTCCGTGTTTGTACACTGTCATCCTTACAACGCCCCATCAGGATAGGGGATATTGTCCCCATTTTACAGATGTGGCCAAGTGGTTTTGGAGAGCAGTTTGACCTGTTGTCAATAAAACAGAGCTAATGACCCTTTGTCCTTGGATGGCTGTGTTGATAAAATGAACATAAAACCCTCACTCCAGTGTCAGACTTCATGCCTGGCAGTGACTGCTGTGAGGATGAAAGCCCAGTATCTGGACCACTCTGCCCACCCCCACCTTCCCTGGAGTAGGGAAGAAGTGGTGTGGTCAAAGAGTCTGGGTGCTTAAAGGAACACCGGTACTTGGAGAGAGGCTGAGCTGGACAGAGCCTCTCCATCCATACCCAACCCCTCTCCCCAGCTTAGGCAAAGCTAGAGGCATTTCCCACACCAGTGTCCACCTCCTGTCCCCCATGTCTGCACACACTGTCTCCCCACCTAGAGATGTCCTTCTCCCCACAGGCTGTTAAAGAGATACTACGACTCAGTTCTTTTTTTTTTTTTTTTTTTTTTTTGGTACAAGGAATTGAACACAGGACCTCGCACTTGCACTTGCCAGATAGACGCCTGTGCCCCTTGAGCTATAAACCTGGCTCCAGTCGGAAATGACCCTCTCCAAGAAGCCTTGCAAAAGCCAGCTCTACAAAACCTGCCCCCCTTCCTCCCCTTCCCTAGGCCGCACCCCTGAAGAGGTCCTCAGCAACCACTGTATCAGGCACTCCTCCCCCTCACTCTGGTTATGCGCACCTAGGCTCACCAGTACGGGCTCTGCAGTAAAAATTCGGGTAACACTGAGAGACAGAGAGAGGCTGGAGAGAGGAAAAATGAAAGAGAGAAAAAGTGAAAAGACAGGGAAATTTGTTTCAAGGAGAAGGGAAGGAAGGAGAAAACTGAGCTCAGACGACCCAGGATTAAGAAGAAAAGTGAGTCAGTCTGTCTAGCTGCTCTCTGGCTGCTGGTCTAGAAATCTCAGGCAAGAGACAGAGCCTTACCATTCCCATCTGTAACTTGGGGGCTTGATGCAACTACTCACCTCCTAGGCTAATGCAGGGTTAAATGAGGTAACCCTGGCCACGCAATTACAGAAGTGCCCCGCACAGAGCGAACATTCACAGTACTCTTCAGGAAGGCTATGATAGTTCGGGGTACACAGTAGCCTTCGGTAAGTGTTGAAAGAAGAAGAGCTATGACCATGACTGGCCAGTCCTCACACTGCTAAACCCACACTGGCTCTGCACCCTTGACACCCTTCCCTGTGCTTGGCGTGGGCACGCCTGCGGAGAATGTGGTGGGGCAGCGTCCCGCTTGGGGCTCCCACCTGCTCCAGGCCTCCGGGCGGCGGCCAGTTTGGAGGGATAATGACAGGGCAGCCGCTGGGCCAGCGCCCTCGTTCGCTCCGCCACAGCAAAACAAAGCCACTACGAGCCATCGGCCACGGGAGCAGGTGAGAGGAGACCCAGACCCCAGCCCTGCCCAGGCTGGCCTGGCAGCCGTGCTGGCCGTCCCCGAGGTAGACAGGCCCCCAGCCCCGAAGGCTGCCCCAGCAAGCCGCGCGCCTCGTCCCAGGACCTCGCGTCTTTGGAGAGGACAGAAGCCCGCACCGGGCAGGTGCGGGAAGAGGGTGTGGGGAAACGTGGAAGCGTCAGGCGCCCCGACCCCGACCCGGTACCAGCAGCCAGCCCCTAAATCGTCTCACCACTTCGGGATCCGCCGCGGGACCCGGCTTCTGGGCTCAGTCCTCCGGGTCAGCTGACCCGGCGCCGCCGCCCCGCCCCGGGAGCCGCGCGGCTCCGCCTCTCACGCCACACTCTTGGCAGACGGTCCCTGCAGGCGCCGTTGGCTGGCCGCGAGTGTGCGCCGGAGAGCCGGGAGCGCCTTTGTCCTGGCTCCCTAACCTCCTCCCAGCCCCGCCCCTAGAGCGTGGGCGGGGCCAGAGCCGCCCTCGCGCAGGCGCAGTCCTGATGCTGCGCGTGGCGTGTCCGGCTCTGAGCCGCGCAGGGTTTAGTTGGGCGCAAAGTTCTCGGCCGGCGGCGTCCCGCACAGTCGTCATGTCCCAGCAGCTGCCGCCACGGGCCACCGGGAACGCCCCGGCCCGGCCCGCCACGGTTCTGGGCACCATGGAGATGGGGCGCCGCATGGACGCGTCTGCCAGCGCCGCGGCCGTGCGCGCTTTCCAGGAGCGCGGCTACACGGAGCTGGACACGGCCTTCATGTATGGAGACGGCCAGTCCGAGAGCATCCTGGGCGGCCTGGGGCTCGGGCTGGGCGGTGCAGACTGTAGAGGTAACGGTCATCAGACCTCCCTGTGCGTGCGGAGCCCCCCATCTCGCCCCGAGCTTGTGTTGACACCTCCACCTCCTTATCTCCACGGCAGGCCCTGCCAGGTGCGGGTTATCGTCCCCTCACCCAGGGTGCGCCTCTCCACGCCACCCAGCCCTGACCACCCGGACACTCTGAGCACTCTGTCTCGTGCTGGTCTTTGTTCAGTACCTAGACCACTACTGCCAGGTGTGTTGGTACACACCTGTAATCCCAGCACTTGGGAGGCTGAGGCAGGGGGATCATGGTGAGTTCGAGGCCTGCCTGAACTATATAGCAAGACCCTGTCTCAAAAAAACAAAAACAGGCTGGGATTTAGCTCAGTGGCATAAGCACCTGCCTGGCAAGTGCGAGGTCGTGGGTTCAGTCCCCGGTGCCAAAAACAAAAACAGTAATTTGTGTAGTAATTTGCTGTTGAGAGAACAAAAGAACAGGCATTAGAAACTTGGCTTGCAGAATGTGTCATGTGCAGCAGAATGACCAGCAGGCAGATGTGGTTCGATGGAGGATGAGGTGTATGCTGTCCCTTATTAACTTGGTGCCATTGGAAGTACCAGCAGGGTGCCTGGCACATACTGAGGCCTCCTTTTTGCAGTCATGAGGCTCCTTCCTCCCATCCCGGTGGATCTCTGGATCTTCTTTAGATCCATAACCTGGACATATAGAACTGTGTCTCTCAGGCCCACCCTTGCTAGTTCACCAGGAGGCATCCGGTTAGTAATGAACATTCTGTTTCTGAACTGATAAATCTTCTCCAAGCCTTCCCTGCTTTCTTCTTTGAGGCCCGGAGCTCAAAGGGCCAGAGTCCTCAGATCATACCCGAGGTAATGTTCACACCAAGGCAGCTGGGGGTGGGTTAGTAGGGGACAAACTGTGGACTTCTCTCCCGTGTCCCAGGTGATTGAGGACACCTCTCGGACATGCTGAGTTAACTGCCAAGGGAAAAAAAGTGCCAAACCCGTCCACTGATCAGTTCAGACTGCTGGGATTCTCTACAGGGGAAAGAACAGGGCAAAGTTAACCCACTTCCAAGCGTTCTGGATGGCAGAATGCTGCAGTGTTCTCCTGGGGGCAGCTCAGTAGATGGATGGGTGGACACGCTTCCTACAGTCTGGGAGGAGAAGTTTCTAATTACCTTCTCAGTGTACAACTAACCGCATCAGTACCTGTGGAGCCAGCTTCTGTCCTGGTCTCCCTGCCTGCGCCCTTGAGTTTGGTCTCTATACTATGACCAGAGTGAATTTCCTGCCTCTTTGACCCCTGACATGACCTGTGTACGATCTGGTCCAGATTCAGTGGGATGGTCTGTGAGTCTTTCCCATCTGCACCCTCTTCCCAGGTCCACTTTCTAGACCCAGAATTGGAACTGTACAGCCTCACATCTGTGTTTTCTTGTCTGTCACATTTTTGTTCCTTCTTTGTTGGCCAAGGCTGATTCCTAGGGAGTCAGATTGTGCTCATTACCTGGACAGTGATGACAATTCTTCTAGAGCTTTCACTGCGGTACGTGTGCCATAGGTTCACCACCTAGAGCAAGCCTTTTCTGGGTTCCAGGATGGGCCTCACGCCTCTCCTTGGGGCTCCTATAGTACTGTGTTCATTTCTCTGCTGCACTGACAGGCAGACGGTGGCCCCTGGAGGGCAGGGATCCAGTGTGTTCACTTTGTCTCTGTCTCTTGTGCAGCATCTGCTACCATCAGCAGTTTGGTGCCTAGAACATCAAAAACTTCAACTGAAAACATTGTTTAATCCTTCTGACTTCTGTGTGAGGACGGTTCAATTATTATTACCCCATTTTACAGATTAGAGAATTAAGGTTCAAGGAATTAAAGTAATTTACCAGGAAGGTGCAGCCAATGAGTAACGGATTCTCTCAACTGTTACATTCTCTCACCAAGTGAAAATTGCCACCAAGGCCAACCCTTGGGATGGAAAGACACTGAAGCCTGACAGTGTGCGGTCTCAGCTGGAGACATCATTGAAGCGGCTGCAGTGTCCCCGAGTGGACCTCTTTTACCTACATGCACCTGACCATGAGACCCCCATAGAGGAGACTTTGCAGGCCTGCCAGCAGCTGCACCAGGAGGTGAGGGGGTGGTGAGGGGGGGTGGTGTCCACCTGCTCTCATGCTGACACTGCCAGAGCAGAGGAGACACCAGCATCCAGAGCAGAGCTGGGGTGACTCCACTCAGGGTCCTCGCCCCATCTCCCCTGCCTGAGTCCTGGGCTCAGCTGGCTCTCACTGTGCCTCTCTTCTGCAGGGCAAGTTTGTGGAGTTTGGCCTCTCCAACTATGCCGCCTGGGAGGTAGCTGAGATCTGTACCTTGTGCAAGCAGAACGGCTGGATCCTGCCCACCGTGTACCAGGTGAGGGCTGCCCGGGTGCCAGTGCTGCTGTGGCTTTAGGTACCAGATCTCTGCTGATCCCAACTCTCATTTGCCCCTCAGAATGCCCTGTGTCCTTACCCAGTAGTATCACCCTGCTCTTGCCTATGGGTGGCTCACAGGTGGCCTCGGCATGAGGCCCCAGCTCCCCAGCCTTGCTCCAGGCACCTGCCCGCCTCCTGCCTGAGCATATGGCTTGGTCTTCTTCCACACCCACTCCACACTTGAGCCTGAAAGGCTGCTGCTGGCTCCCTGGGGGAAGGGCTCCGGTCTCTTCCTCAGAACCCCCTTTGCATGGTCCCCTGAGGCCTCCACATCTTTATGTGCTCAGTTATTTATTTATTGTTTTGTTTTTTGAGACAGGTTCTCGCTATGTAGTTCAGCCTGCCTTGAAGTCACTGTGACCTCAATGAGTCTTTTTGAGCCACTACTTTAATCCCAGAATCTGCTCTAATTAATTAGTTTGTAATTCTCTTCTCTCTCTCTCTCTCTCTCTCTCTCTCTCTCTCTCTCTCTCTCTCAACTATGGCATCTCTTGGAGGCAGACTTTGCCAAACTTGTTAAGTGGTTGTAAATCCAGCGCCAAGCCTATAGGTGGAGCCATAGTAATTCATACATTAAGCCCAGTCCTGGCTTCCTACCCTGGGCAGGATACCCTTTCTTCACTGTGTACCACTACTAGGGAATTTAGAAATAATCGCTGATGTCCTGAGTTGGTGTGGACTTTGTTTGTGTTTTGTGACCAGGCCATGCTCTTGAGTTCAGGCTGGCCTTGAACTCACTACGTTCGTTGTAGCACAAGTTGATCTGGGTCTTGTGGGCATCCTCTTGCCTCAGCCTCCCCAGTGCCTGGAATTTTAAAGGAGGAAAGCTAAACGGCTTGGTGGCATGTGCCTGTAATCCTGCCTACTCAGGAGACTGAGGCAGGAGGATGGCTGAACCCCAGGAGGTCAAGGCTACCCTGGGAACATAATGAGATCCTGTCTTAAAAAATTCTGAAAATAGAGTTACTTTTTAAAAAGGAAAAGTGGTCAAATATGGTGGTACATGCCTTTAGTCTCAGCACTCTGGCGGGACTGGGGATTTAGCTCAGCAGCATAAGCACCTGCCTTGCAAGCAGGCAGTCGTGAGTTCGATCTCTAGTACCAATTAAAAAAAAAAAAGTCTCAGCACTCTGAGAGGCTCATGCAAGAATTTTGCAAATTTGAGACCAGCCTGGGCAATTTACTGGTTTATTGAGACCCTGTTTCACAATGAAAAATTTAAAAGACCTGGGGATATAGCTCAGTGCAGAGCCCCTGGGTTCAATTCCCAATTTTTTTTTTTTAATCAATACCAGGGATTGAACTCACGACCGCCTGCTTGCAAGGCAGGTGCTTATGCCGCTGAGCTAAATCCCCAGCCCCTAATTCCCAATTTTGAAAAAAAAAAAAAAGAAGAAGAAGAAAAGAGGCAGGCTAGGTGCCCTCCTTTGACATAACCACCTTCTGCAGCTGGCCCCTCTCCCTGCAGGGCATGTACAACGCCACCACCAGGCAGGTGGAAACAGAGCTCTTTTCCTGCCTCAAGCACTTTGGATTGAGGTTCTACGCCTACAACCCTTTGGCTGGTATGGGGACAGACCCTTCCGGAATGGGTGGGATTGCTGGCTATGTCTCTGCCTATTTCTGTTTTTTGTTTGTTTGTTTTTGGTACTGAGAATTGAACTCAGGACCTTGTGCCTGTCAGGCAGGCACTGCACCACTGAGCTATGTCCCCAGCCCTGTCTGTGCCAATTTCTGTCCCTGTGGATACCCAGCCCAAGCCACGGGAAGCAGACAGGGTTTGGCAAGAGCTGGGTTGTGTCCGAGTCCCTCCATGGTGCCTCTCTTTCCCTGTGCCCAGTGCTGGAGAGCCTGGAAGCCTCTGGGAACAGTCTGGGCCCAGATCTGACCACAGCCTTCCTACAGGTGGCCTGCTGACCGGCAGATACAAGTACGAGGACAAGGACGGGAAACAGCCAGTGGGCCGCTTCTTTGGGAATAACTGGTCTGAGACCTACAGAAATCGGTGAGCCAGGGCTACCTGCATCAGAACGGTGGGGCAAGAAGCCCCTTAAGCAGAAGTGACGTTGTAGATGACTTTTCCAGGGGTGAAATCTT